AAATGCAACATTCTATGGCCTTTGTCGGGACATGTCGCTTTCAGGCCTGCCTAGCAGTCTCTAGCCGAACCGACTGCCTCTATTCAACCGGTTCCTCATCGGAACACTATCTCGCTACTTGAGAGGATTCTACTTTGCGTGAGTCTGGAACATTCCTCTTCTGATTCTTCGAATCTGTACATCCTTCTATTGTTGGAAAACACAATTCCACCATTCGGAGTTAGTTTTAGCTGTATTTTATACCGTTTGTAGTTTTTAAGTCGACGTTTCCACTACAAATCTGTGCTACCACGCTGAAATATAAAAACGTCATTTACAATAAAGTGGACATGCGCTACATATTCATCAGTACAACTTCACTCATTTACTGCTATTCTATGTCCAGTTTACCTCAAGAACACCTGAAAAAGTATGCGTGTATGATATATGCTGCATTCCCTGAAGAAGAAATAAACGTGTAGACAGATATGCTTTCTCCAGCTCATTTGGCAGAAAACTACTTTGATTTCACTTTTTATGTGCTGGTTAAGGATGTATTACGTTTGGAAAAAGCTTCTCAGTTCCATTTATAGTGTTGAGCCTAAACAGTCGCTGCATTAGTGTTCAGCGATACCAGTCTACAAGGTGCATGCTTTCTGCGTAAGCAATATCAAATATTCTCCTATACTTTCAAAAAGTTACCAGTTAGAGTTTGTAACATTTTTTCCTGTTTGTGGACTATGCTGATCATTTCATGAGAACCAGTGCAAACATGTAGGTACAGTACTGTATTAGTGGACATTCACGGTCTTAGAACAATTCAGAAATCAAAACGCTTTTAAACACAAAAGCGCCCTATATTCGGGTGAAAATTGTAGCGAAAACGTAGTTTCCTACCAAATGAGCAAAAGAAAGCATAGTTGTGTACACATTCTCTATAACATATATTTAAGTTTTTAAGACCACTGAAATCAGTTTATGAAATGCATATTTATATATTTTATTGAAAATATACCCAGCAGAAAAATTGACCTTAAGGCCTACTCGCATCAACCTAATTTTAAACTTTACCAGAATCCTATTCTTAACCATAGCCCTTAACCTATCCCTGGCCCTAGCATTAACCTCAACTTCGACGTGTGATAGGGAAAATTCATATTTATGTACCCAATTAAGATTTATTCCTTAGGTTTAGTGCGCGCGATGCGAAATTTTTGGAGTGGGAAGTGCAGTGAAATTGTTTTCATCAGACAAGATACGTGAGTGTGACTAATTCTGAAACTCGGACTAACTTTCTGTTTCAAAGTTGTGCAAACCACATGACATCATTTCAGAATGTGCCTGTTGGAGACTTCCTATTGTGTCTTTACTCCACGCTTGCATACGAGATTAGAAAAAAAAACAGTGAACGACGATAACCTGCACGGAGACACTATTTGTACTTTTTATGTTGCATCGGCTTGGTAAGTTGCTTGCATATATTTTTGATACGGTTCTTATATGGCTTTTCGTATCAGCGATAAGTGCTCCTACACGTCACGCTGCAACCTTTTTATAATAAGGAATTTAGCAATTCACATATAAACTTAATAACTGTCTATTATACTGGTTTTATCTTGCAGAAAGTGGAAAGAACAACATGAATAAATCTACAGCGTCCTAAAAAGCTGATGGGTTATTCTTAATATATATGAATCATGTGGCTTCTAAATTTCTACTTGAACTGAGTTTGGCAGTTTCCTAAATTCTTTGTAAGCATTGCAAAGCATGCGTATGCTCTCGGTGGTGTACCTAAATACCCAAGATTTTAAGACCCACATGCGGCTTTCCGGTGTCACAAATATTTATTACAGATGGTTAAACTCACGAAACACTGACGAAAATTCAAACATCTTCCGAACTCCACTATTGTCCACGGCTTTGCGTTAATTAGAGAAGGACCCGAATAAGCCTGGGATGTTTGTTGGCGGGCGGGGGCTAGGAAAGATGGTACAACCAACAGAACGCTATATGAAGTACAGACAGGATGGACGAGCAGGATGGACAAGCAGGCGGTAACAGGGGTCAGCGAGCCGACACACGAAATCTAGCACACTGAGTTAGCTAATAGCAAGGACAGGTACAAATTAACAGGCAGACATGGAACAGGCAGAAAGAGCAGAATATGACATTTAACACTAACATGCAAAGTAAGGAGACAGAGCAACGTCCTCTAACCCGAGTGCTCACTTACCACCAGCAATGGTTCAGACGGACTCCCGTCTTGACGAGGCCGGCGCGAAGATTCATCCGATTAGCGAAATCCACATCACCGTGCGCGCAGGCGCACGCACAGACACCCTTACCTGGTCTAGCCCGCTGGTCGAGGCGGTTACCGACGTGTGGCCGCAAGGTAGAACCTAGCTCCGGGGAGCCACCCGTGGTAGTTTAGTATCAGAAAATACACGCTAGGCGTGCATGCAAGTGAGCGACCTACTACGAAAGTTACGTGAACCCACCGCTGGAAACGCCTACATCCCACCCTCCACACATACCCACAAACAAACACGGACTGCTTGCTACATCTGCTCGTCCATCCTAACTGTAAGTCATAAAGCGTTCTGTTGGTTGCAACATCTCTCCTAGCCCCCACCCGCCCCCAAACATCCCAAACTTATTCGGCTCCTTCTCTAAGTAATGCAAAGCCGTGTACAATACTGGAGTACGGAAGCAGTATGTGAATAACCGGGCAGCGATAGTTAGGGGGTGCGCTAACTACACCGCAGTGAGAACTGACTAGAAAATGTGCCCTAAAATTTCCAGGTAGTAACGTTGTCCGTAGGCTGGTAGTGGGAGAAGACAAAAAGCACACGGTCGAAAAAATCAAACCATAGACAACAACCATCTCTCTCTCTCTCTTTCACTTCCTGCAACATCCAACAAGAGAAACATAAAGAGAAAGAGCGGACATCAAGGATATCACAATCAAGCATAAATACAATCGGAAAGCAAATTGTAAACTCTGCGACAATCATCGAGGCATCTCATTGCTGAACATCAGAGGGAACAGTTTTGATCAAATCCTTCTGAACAAAACCCTAATTGAAGATCTGCCAAAAATCCCGTGCGGACTAAATGGTCATCGCAGGATCACACACATGAATCGGCTTGCTTGCAGGGTGACTTCGCACACACTGGCAGCCTGAAATGTTTGCTGTCTCTTAGACAATCGGAGGAGCAACCGACTGGCACGATTAGATCGGCGGAGGAGAAAAAGGAAGATGCTGAGAGTTGTTTCTTCTTTCGTTCTTCCGGACGTCCCTTTTCCGCATGCGGACACGGCCAGCCTGCAGACGGCATGGATGCACAGCATTTGACTAGGAAAACTATGCTATCCCGTTCCCCCCGGAGACAACGTACCCAGGAGTGTGAGGAAAAAAAGATGCAATGAATAATGTGAAAATGTACAAAAAATACAAATTATTTCACCCAAAATTCGTCAATTACAGAATGGTAACCGGACGTATAAATGCTGGTTGACCAGGCTAAGAGCATGAATGACTCTCGTCCGTATGGACAATCATCTTCGGCCTTATCCTCGCCAGCATAATTATCCTTGCGTGATCCGCTATCTAGCATACAAAGGGAGCTCATTTATTCTTCCAAACCGCTGTTTCTCACTCAAATGCATCTGATAAAATAAATAACCGCCAAATTCCAACGCTGATTTCCTGACATACACGTCATATACAAGATCTAACTCATAGCGCAGTGGTTAGAGGCATGGATTTTTAACCCACATGTCGCGAGATGGAGCAGTGGGGGTTCCACACTCTGGGATTGAGTATGACAGGCTGCTGACGACTGCTAAGCCAGAAACTGCCACTTCAGACTCCCTTGTCTTTGTCGGTAAAGCAAAATTGCCTATATCATGCGCCGCTCAGCGGTTGCTGGTTGGGCTTGAGAGAGAGAGAGCCTCTAAGGCACAACGGAACAAGTGAGATCCGTATGAAATATCGATGAGCGCCCCCTACCATCCAGATCTAAAGGTTTGCCATCCGATCATACAAAGCCGTTCAAACAATCGCCCGCAGATTTCGTTTCGCATCAGAATAGTTATGCTACAAATCTCCCATGCAATTTTACACACGCTAAGCACTATATCAGCACAGCCAGGACTAAATATATGCCCGTACTCGGTCTCCCCTTCTTCACAAATATGCCAATGTTGTTACACAGGAGGGTGTGACAGAATATTGCCTCAATTTCAGTGGGCGGTCAGTTGACCGCAGACTAATGACGCATCATGCAGCTCACGCGTATTATGCTCTCTTCCGCATGAGCCAACCACCTTTGCGCAGAGCCTAACAACACTTGTCTTAACATCCTCACCAAAACCTTTAAGTCGTGCCGCTATTTAACGGTACACTGGAACAGAAGGACCATATCTCACGCAACATGTGCATCGTCAGCCAACTGACAAATATAAATTTAGTCGGGCTGGCAGGCTCTCTGCTCAAAGGCGATCATTTAGCCGCAAATCTTCAAGCAGCACCCAATTGTCCTCTCTCATCTATATGACATGAAGCAGTACGCACGGTGTCTGTAGGGTGGAATGGCCACGAGATGCCTGATGTATTTGTCCTGACATTTTATGCGGTTATGACCCACCAGCTAGCCGCGAAGGACTAAAACCAGAATTCACTTAGAACTGCGTCGTGCATTGCAATGCAGTCGGAATGCTTTTCACATGATAGAGAGTGCGTTACTTCAACACCCTCAAACAACTTCTCTTAGTTACTTCGCTACTGCAGCCCATTTCACAAACAAAACTATAAGGAAGTAGACCAGCCAGACATTCAAGACCTCAAATTGTTTCCTCTCCATACATTTAAAATGCACCCACACTTCGTTTTAAGCGAGGACCTGATAGAATGCAATAACACGTTTTATTGGACAAATATGGCAATCAGGAATATGTACAAACATCAGAGATTAGCAGAAAAAAAATCACCTGTGTACAAGGATAATAGGAATATCTTCTATGCGCTGGCTGGCAAATTGCCACAGCAGACGAATTTCCGCCATATGTAACCCAATCGTCGGCGGATGGGCTTCCGTTCTCGGTGGTCGAGCAACGTGTAGGCATCTAACAGGAGAAGAGTGAAGGAAAAGAGAGCGGGGTGTGTCATAAGGGAGATGGAGGGCTGAAGAACTAAAATGACAGTAATGCAGTTGTAGACATACGCGACGACATGTCAACGGACCTCCATCGTGGAGGCCGCCGCCTGCCGGCAGATGGTACGGGCATTGTCATTTGAATCACTTCGCTGTCTCTGGCTGCCACTACTGCACACGTGTGGCAGTTTGCAGTAGTTACTTCCAAGACGACAGCAAGACAGTCCGCGTCTCCACCAGCGTGCACATTCTGCTGCTGCTGCTGCAGGCCCTCCTCCTTCACTTCCATTTTTACGCCGTTATTGTCATTGGCGCTGACGTCCTCCTCCTCCACCTCGCAATCCTCCTCCTCCTCATCCTGCTCATCCTCCTCCGAAACTTCCTCGATTCCTTCGAGCTCTGGAACAAACTTGAGCTTTCTTAACTGCGGTTTAGGGTGCTGCATGGTGTTATCTATTGCAAAGTAAAGAAGGCGGGTTTAAGTAGTAGGAAACGGCTGTGCAACGGTCAGAATGGGTAGTGCAAGTAGTTAGTGCACTTACTGGGACATGACTGCTCCATCTCATCCTGTCCTACCAAGCCACTCCCTATTCCTCCCCCAAATTCAGTTGCTTCCTCCATTTCCTCCTCCTTCTCCTTCTCCTTCTCCTCCTGCTCCGCTTCGCCACATCCCGAATTCCTGAAGGCTACCGACTCGGCACCAGCCGCCGATGGTAGATCATTATACCGCAGACCTCTGCAATCGTTCGTTACCCGCACAGTGCTGAAAGTATTTTCAAGGAGACGAGACATCTTCCCTCCACAGAGCTTCGTCCAGCAAAGATAAACTTCATGCAGATGGAACAACGAAAACATAACGAGAAACAACGATGGGGTAGAAAGGACGATGCCTACAAGTAAAGAGATGCGATGTGTCTGTTAGACTATAATCCTGTCTGCCTATTCTCACATATTTATTTGAAGCCTGGAGAAATCGCAAAGATGAAAGACTTCATTGCAGTGCACAGTGATTAAAACGATATCACGAGGTGCATTAAGGGATTTAATGCCAGCACTTACCAATCAACAGGTAAAAAATAACGTTCGGGACGCAATTAATCCAGGGAAATGAAATCATCTCACAAATGATTTGAATGAATACACGTATGACAAGAATTTCTACGCATAGACCGCGCACCGATTGCAGCGTCATAATTACTGACTGAGGTGAATTTGAATGGCTGAGGGTTATCGATCTTGTGCAAGTCGCCGTTCAAGTGCCAAGATGGCAGCGCTACGGTCGAACATGTGCACGTGCATGCAGGAGGCGAAGTTGGGTTGTTTAGGAAGCTTCTGATCCAAAGGAGATCTTTGCTTTCTCAACTCTCATCACTTTGGTTGGCCCTGTGTGCTGCGTTTGCTTGTATTTAGACGAAGGGCAGAGCAGCAACGGCACGGCGATGCCTCAGGTTGTAGGCGTGTTTAATGGGAAAGACTGCTGTCGACAGAGGACAATTGTTAACTTTTTATTAACCCGGAACAGGTTGGCTAATCCAATTCCCGATTGGTCTTTCAAAAACCACACTGCTGAATAGGACGCCTAACAGCTGAGCGGGATTGAAAATTGAACGAGAGTAGGAAGGATAGTGGGAGAGATACATGATTTATGTTAAGAACATCGCTTCTCAACAGGATGTTGTTCATCGCATAGGCCCTATAAGCCATTTTGGTCTAAAAAGGTTTTGGTTAGATCGTTTAGCAGAGAGGCCTTACCCTTAGGCATACACACTGGCTCAAAAGGATTTATGATAAGTCCTATGAGGAAATAGACGAGGTTTTGAATGCTGAAGCGGACGAAAGGGGGGGGGGAATGGGAAGCGTGGGGAGGCAGATCATAAAAGGGAAGAATTTGGGGCTTGAGTATGCCACGGCCGCAATGGCAAGCCTGTGGTGGCGCACACCGTGGACATCTTCCTAATCGTACGCTGAACTGCCAACTCGTGCTTCATCAATTCGATGACGGTTATCCGCTGACATTAGATGCTAACAATGCTTGTGTGAAAATTGGGCAGCCCAGCCACTGCCCAATAGACTGCAACATGACAACGCCATCAATGGATGGATGGAAGTGCTGGTGGTGTTTGTGTTGGTGTGTGTGGGTATTGGTGGATATGTTGTTCATGGTGTTACGGAATAGGATTTGGCATAGCACATGTGCCAGGAATTGGATAATGTCTTAAGATTTAAGAATTGTTTTAAATGTTTTACTCTCATTACTGCCTAACCCTAACCTCCTAACATTAACCCTAAACACATCCCCCATATCGTAACCCTTTCCCTTACACTAACCCTATCCCTCACTCTTACATCCTACCCATTACCATAACCCTCCTACCCTAACCTAGCCCTAATCCGTTGCAATATATTCGAATATACGCGCCCTAGTTTGCATACTTGAGTAAGCAGCCACGACCGTTTGTACAAGAGATGATTTAGCCTGGCGTGTCTGATTCGTGCTACAACTCGTACTCATAGACAAAATGCGGATAGGTGTGGTTCATGCAAGACGGGCTGCAGTATTTCTTGGAAGCTCTTGCCATGTTACCACATACTTATGAATATTCACGGATGGATTTGTGCTGCAAGTTAACGCCTGTTGAAAATCACTACTCACGCTGTTCATTGGTAATCATTGCACTCCGGGTAATAATTACCCGCTGGACGGATTTCTGGTTGTTGCTCACTACGATTTCATCTCTTTCGCTGATTTGAATGCGATTTGTTTTGGTTAGACAAACATCTGAATCACACACCCTGACGTTGAGGGAAGTCTTCAACTGCGTTCTACCGGTGTGTCTAATCGCATTGCCTAGGTAGAGCCGCAGCGTGGAAGATTAAATGGAAGTTTTTATGCTTGTTAATAGATTAGTACAAGTGAACAAAGGCTTAGGCAACCTGGGCTCATTGGAATCTACCAACATGCTCGCGCTATCAAAGACTATTCTGCCCATTGTCTAGAACCTCCGAACATTATTCTATTTGAAATCGACAAACTACCTCATTGTCGTTGATCACGACCCAGATGTCCTTCCACCATTGAACATCATAATCCCTATCGTCCACTACGCAACCGCTTCGGTGATGACGGCTATTGCCTCCTTCAATACGGTCATTGGTCTGAGCACTGTGGGGGCCCCGTCAACCACCGGGGATGGGAACTCCACTCCAACCTATCCTCATTGCGATCGAACATTCACTTCTTGCATCAGCCTGAGGGATTTCACGCGAGACAGAGACTAACGAATCAGTGCCTGGAACACCGAAATACAGCAAACGTCATCTATTTCACCGCCCACGATGCCTTTGCATATTAACTCACATGTTCAGTCACATGCGTATCCACGACCGTGGACTTCGGCGCGATGTCGACGAGATTAATACAGTTCGCACAGCAACTATCTCTCGCATCCCTATCCCAATCAGCAGTGCGTGCAGCAGTAGCAGCATCACGTTCCCTACCAATGTAACACCTCTCAAACTATTCTGCCGACTTCATGGCTGCACTTTCACCTATAGCAAAGTAAACATTTCTTCTAATTTTCGGATTCATCCTCTAGGGCAGCAGCGGCAACAGTAACAAACGAATCACTAACCGTACTGTTAATTCGTAGTAATCTATACTGACTGTCACTTTGCAAGTATTAAAGCGCTAGGAGATTGATTCTTGCCCCGCTGAATCGTCGGCGAATAGTTCATTTATATGAGTTCTGAACTACTTTGAATGCAGCCTCCCGAAACGTCCGCTGACCAAAGTATATTTAGTCTCATGGGTTGTCGATTAGCGGAAAGTGTGGTGATGTATTCAAATTTGCGGTGATTTTCCCAACGGCTTCTCGAAGACGCCTATGACCGTAGAGATCCATGCAGAGCACGAAAATGTGCGGTCAATGTGATCTGTGAAGGTGGTAGGGGCGACAGGATGTCGGAGCTAGATAAACTTGCGGACCAGTCTCCGTGCGCTGTGTTCGAAATGCAGTGACTAGTTCGATGACTTAGGCGAAAGGTGCAGATATGTGGTGGGCAAGATAGCTTGAGAGATGTTAAATTGGCAAATATGCTATGCCAAATCCTATTCCGTAACACCATGAACAATATATCCACCAATACCCACACACACCCACACAAACACCACCAGCACTTCCATCCATCCATTGATGGCGTTGTCATGTTGCAGTCTATTGGGCAGTGGCTGGGCTGCCCAATTTTCACACAAGCATTGTTAGCATCTAATGCCAGCGGGTAACCGTCATCGAATTGATAAAGCACGAGTTGGCAGTTCAGCGTACGATTAGGACGATGTCCACGGTGTGCGCCACCACAGGCTTGCCATTGCGGCCGTGGCATACTCAAGCCCCAAATTCTTCCCTTTTATGATCTGCCTCCCCACGCTTCCCATTCCCCCCCCCCCCCTTCGTCCGCTACAGCATTCAAAACCTCGTCCTTTTCCTCCTAGGACTTATCATAAATCCTTTTGAGCCAGTGTGTATGCCTAAGGGTAAGGCCTCTCTGCTGAACGATCTAACCAAAACCTTTTTAGACCAAATGGCTTATTCGGCCTATGCGATGAACAACATCCTGTTGAGAAGCGATGTTCTTAACATAAATCATGCAGCTCTCCCACTATCCTTCCTACTCTCGTTCAATCTTCAATCCCGCTCAGCTGTTAGGCGTCCTATTCAGCAGTGTGGTTTTTGAAAGACCATTTGGGAATTGGATTAGCCAACCTGTTCCGGGTTGATAAAAAGTTAACAATTGTCCCCTGTCAACAGCAGTCTTTCCCATTAAACACGCCTACAACCTGAGGCATCGCCGTGCCTTGCTGCTCTGCCCTTCGTCTAAATACAAGCAAACGCAGCACATAGGGCCAACCAAAGTGATGAGAGTTGAGAAAGCAAAGATCCCCTTTGGGTCAGAAGCTTCCTAAACAACCCAACTTCGCCTCCTGCATGCACGTGCACATGTTCGACCGTAGCGCTGCCATCTTGGCACTTGAACGGCGACTTGCACAAGATTGATAATCCCCAGCCATTCAAATTCACCTCAGTCAGTAATTATGACGCTACAATCGGTGCGCGGTCTATGCGTAGAAATTCTTGTCATACGTGTATTCATTCAAATCATTTGTGAGATGATTTCATTTCCCTGGATTAATTGCGTCCCGAACGTTATTTTTTACCTGTTGATTGGTAAGTGCTGGCATTAAATCCCTTCATGCCACTCGTGACATCGTTTTAATCACTGCGCACTGCAATGAAGTCTTTCATCTTTGCGATTTCTCCAGGCTTCAAATAAATATGTGAGAATAGGCAGACAAGATTATATTCTAACAGACACATCGCATCTCTTTACTTGTAGGCATCGTCCTTTCTACCCCATCGTTGTTCCTCGTTATGTTTTCGTTGTTCCATCTGCATGAAGTTTATCTTTGCTGGACGAAGCTCTGTGGAGGGAAGATGTCTCGTCTCCTTGAAAATACTTTCAGCACTGTGCGGGTAACGAACGATTGCAGAGGTCTGCGGTATAATGATCTACCATCGGCGGCTGGTGCCGAGTCGGGAGCCTTCAGGAATTCGGGATGTGGCGAAGCGGGGCAGGAGGAGAAGGAGGAGGAGATGGAGGAGGAGGAAGCAACTGACGTTGGGGGAGGAATAGGGAGTGGCTTGGTAGGACAGGATGAGATGGAGCAGTCAGGTCCCAGTAAGTGCACTAACTACTTGCACTAACCATTCTGACCGTTGCACAGCCGTTTCCTA